AAATAATAACAACAAACAATAAAAAGAAGAAATGAATGATGTTTAGAAAAGAAAAAATTGAGAAAAAGAAGAAATGAGTGATGTTAAGAAAAGATAAAAATCAATATAAAATAAAATATAAAATAAAATATAATAAATAATAAGAATAAGAATGATAATTTCTTATTTTATTATTATATTATTCTTTATGATTCGAAGGTATCACGTCAGAGATACACAACACAGAACCCTAAAATATTATCATCATTCAAATACACCAGTTATGGATTGGTTATAATATTATATTTGGTTAGAAAAACATCATAATCAATACTTCAAGAATAGCAGTGTTTATTATGTACAATGATGGGATATCATTGATAATAAACGAATAGGTATTTATAAAGATGATATTATTACTTAATATGATACAAATATATTTGATAATATAAGATTATCAAAAAAATGGTCTAGTGGTTGATACTAAAAAGAATATTAACCCAAAGCAGCACAGTAGTAATTATATACTCTTCTTAAAATAAGAAAATAAAGAAGAATTTTAATACTCATCAAAATCAAATAGAAATTAAATGATGAATATTTAAATAATAGATATTTAAAATACTCTATTCCATATCAAAAATGAGAAAAGAAAATTATCATAATTCAACAACTAAAATCAAAGAATAAGGCAATAGTTTAAGAACAAATACATTTAAAGCTCAGGGACGGGATTAGTCTCCCCTGAGCAAGGAACAATAGAAGATATTTCTATTAATACTTAATTAACTACTTTTTTTTAATTTGTTATTTATTCCACAAAATTATTTCTTTGCTTTTCTTCGTTCTTTTTGATTTTCTTGTTATTCTCTTCTTTATCACTTCTACTTATCTATTTCATTTCAATATTTACACTTAGTATTAGCTTTTAGTTGTGTCCTTGCACTTATCAACAGACTTGTTCTATTGTAGTATTTATTTCAATATTATAAGTTATTCAATTTATCTGTTTTATACAGTTAGTGTGCTTGCATTGTTATTTGCCATTCACTCTTTGTGTTTTTACCCTATTTTATTGTTAAATAAGAATTCAGGTGTTACTTATTGAAAAATGTAATGTTGTAGTTATGTTTAGATTGTTCATTACTTGGTTACTCAATGAATAAAGTTTTTAATGATTATTCATATCAGAGCAAGTGTTGGTTAAAGAAAATTAGAGTGAGTAAATAATCAAAACAAAGACTGGTATTTGGTCATAACACTTAATTTGATATTTTCTAAGATGAAAATATTAAATTGTTAGTTATTTTTAAAGTTGTTAATTAATGATTTTTAAACCAAAAAATTTGAAATTTGTTATTCAAGTAATTCATGAAAGAAATAATTGATAAAAAGAAGAATTTTATTCAAAGAATTGATGTTGAAAAATCGTTTTCTTCTATAAATAACCAAAAAATAACATGAACTAGAAAATCTAAATTCTTAAACGCTAAGTTAAAAGTAAACTATAATAAAATAGAAAAAGAATAATAATAATAAACATAAAATTTCAAGAGGGTATATAAAAACAACATAGTTTTTAACTAATATCATTGCAATGTCTATTATTAAGAAGTCAACTAAATCTATTAGTGAATCAACTGATAAGAAGAGAAAATCAGTTTCTAATGAGATTAAAGAAAAAAGCTTTATTATTGGATGTGTAATAAGATGTGGTATTAGTTTAGAACTAGAAAGAAAAACAAAGAATGATGAAGAAGGGCTTCAAAATTTTAATATTATTTCTGTTTGTGATGAAAGGATTCAAGAAGAAATTAATAAAAGATTTAAAGAATGGGAAAATTTTATACAAGAAAAAAAGGGGAAAGTAGAACAAAGAGATAAAGATAAGTCATACCAAAATATTAATTATGAGACTTTACTTGAAGAATTAAGTAATTATGGAAACGAAATTAATTATAAGAAAACAAGAGGAAGTAGTAAAACAGTTAAAAGAAAAAGGATATCAACATTTAATGGAATAAGGCAAGAAGAAATATATGAAATTGGAGAAAAAGTCAATAAATATCTTATTAAAGAAATTAGAATTGAAGAAGGTAAAAAGAAAAAGGAGTGTAGACAAGTTATTAATGAGATTGACCCTAATATTATTATTACACCATTATTTAGTAATTTTAAAGTATATTGTTCAGAAAGTAATTATGATAATGAAAATTTTAATCAAATAGAACAAATACCTAATTGTTATTTGATTAATTATGTTCAAATACCTGATTATTATTACAATTTAAATTTAATTGGTGGTATATTACCAAATGATTATTATAAGGGATATAATTTACTAAATTCACCAGTTCCAATTCTATTTGAACAAACAGGATGTCCTAACATTGATGAATCAAGCTTAAAAGGGATAGTCAATGTGAGAGAAAAATAACAAGAATAAGATATTTGATATGATTTACTTTACTTAGACTGTAGTTATATAACATAACATTTATTGCAAAACTCTTTTAAATCTATTAAAAGAAAACAAAAAGAGTAATGAAGTAAATGTTATATATAAACAATCTAAGTACAGCAAATATAATTAAATTTTTATTCTTTATTTTTATTTTAGTTTTAATAATATATTTTAAATACAAAGATAAATGGATATAATATTTTATATATTTCAATATAAATTTATTTTATTTTAAATTATTATTGATTCATATATTTTTATATTATTTTTATCAATATAATTGATATTATTTCACTTTTTATTATACATACTCATTATTAACACTTTTTAAATGATAAAAAATAAGAGAAGTTTAACAATAATCATCATTTCATCTGATTGTAAGTTTCATAAATAATAGTCGAACAAAAATATTTCATAATTAAATAAAATGAACCAGAATCAATATTTTTATTATAATTCAATTTATTATTTGAATAAGAAATTAGAAATTATTTTACTATTCAATTACTCATCATTTAATATAATTTCATTTTATATTAACTTTATTTTATTTAATTCATTATTTTTATTTGAAAGAATGAGTTAGTTTAAACACTAATGATTTGTTTATTATGATCAATAATAGTGTTTATGAGACACCCATATTGTAGTATTATTAATGATTATTTTTTGTAACAACCATTTACAATTGATTTGGTTACTATTTTCATTATTTTATCAAAACTTATTCAACATTAATCAATTGATTTTATTTTAATTAGATATAACAATAAAACTTTATTCAGTAAAAATAATGGTATTTATTTAAAGACGAATGTAAATATTATTTTCTTTTATCACTTTTATTTATTCTATCAAAGACCATCATTTATTTCTAGTTTATGTTCATTAATATAATTTGTTATTCCATTATTGTTTCTATATTCTTGTTTGTTAGATTTATACTTTTATATTCTATTTGTTATTTTACACTAATAAAGATTAAGAATATTCATTGTTAATGAATCAGTTCAATAGTTATTCTGTTTATTTATTATTTTTATACTATGATTTTATTTTTCTTATTATTCGAAGAATTTTATAAATAAGTTAGTTCATATTATTTAATATCTTTTGTTTTCCATTAATTAACTTTCAAAAAAATTAAAACAAATTCAATATTATTTGAATTTCTTCATAAAAACAACCAAAAAATTATTTAAAAAAAATTGAATTTATTCATAATGGTATATATTTTGAATAAACCCGCATTTTTCAAAGGACATCTCTGACAGAATCTGCTTGCAAATAATCACAGTCCATTGCTGTGAAATAATTAGTATCAACAAAATCTGGATTTTGTGATACAGTTTCATTATAATTTGAATTCTCAAAATTCACCAACCTTGGATCTGCATTAATTAATGATGCGTTGTGATCAGTCTGTGTGTATGTGTAGTCACTAAAATGAGAGTCTATATTGTCAGTTGATAGAATATTTTCCGATGAACCACTATGGCTAATAATCTGTAATTCTTGTTGTAAAGTTTCAACATATTTATCTAATTGTTGAAATGGTTTAGATTCAATATATGAACAATGTTCTAATACTTGAGAACTAATATGGTCATTAATACAATTAAATTGATATTCATCAAAAATTGGATCTTCTAAGAACTCTTCTTTTGATAATTTAATGTTATTTTGATAATTGGTGTTATTATTATTAGATATTTCATTATAATAGTCTTTGTTCCCAACAAAAAGACCTTTTGATTGAGGTGTATTTGTTTTTAACAAATACGAACAAAGAAAATTATATACTGGAGTTCCAATTTTTTCTAAAACTTCTTCGTTCTTATAAACACCAATAACTTCACCATCTTTATTCACTAAAGGAAGTTCTTGATATTGTTGACTAGTAAGCGTCTTTTTTGATTTTTTTGTGTAAAGTAGTTTAGTATTACGCCCAATATCTTCATATTTATTATAATATTCATTAAGAATATTCATAATAACAAGTTCATTATAAGTTAATTTCTTTTTTGTTTTATCTGTTTCAATTGGTGTTTTCTTTATAGGAATTCCTTCATTATCAAAATTTAATTGAACAACTCCTGTTTCTGTTATAATTAAATCATATTCAAGGTTTTCATCAAACATTATTACCCCACTTTGATTCCATATTTTTTGAATCGGGAAGAAATGGTCTAACTTTCCTGCTATTCTTTTCTCTTTTGAAAAAAGAAATGACCATCCTTTAGTTATCAGATAATAACACCCAGATAAGATATACTTTCTTCTTTTATTTGTCGATTGTATTTTCATTAGAGCATGTGGAGTGTTTTCTTTTTGGGGTTTTGTAATTTTAACCATTCCTTCTAACTTATATTAAATAAAAATTGAAGTTCTTTTTATATTAAATAACTATTTTTGTCAATTTCAATAAACATCATTTGTTTTATAATTGGAATAAAAGAATAGTTTATTTATGATTTTTTTGTTTATTTTTCTTTGAACTTTTCAGTTCCTCTTTCATTAAACGTTATTTAAAATTTGCAAAGTAGAATGATTATGAAGAATTTATGATTTACTTATGAAAAATAAAGGGTTAAAAAAAATTATGTCTAATATTATCTGTATTATTTTAATTTTTTGTTGTATTCTTAAAAATCAAAGAATTATTTATTTTAATTTATTTTATAATAAAAACTTTCTATATAAAACTAAAAATATTTATAATTATTTATTTTTTATTCTTTTGAACTAAAATCAATTTAACATTCTATAATTTTGTAAGAGATAAGATTACATAATTCTTTTTCTAATGTTATTTTGTTTCTTTTTTTAGTTATTAATTCTAAATTTAATATACTTCAAAAAAATTATCAACATAGTAAAATTTTACTTTTTTAATTGATGGTGTATTATTATATCTTATATTCAATAACATTTATTATATTTTAAAGAATAGTATATTCTTAGATAATTAAAGTATGACATTATATCTTTTTATCTAATAAATTGATAAAGATGTATAAGTACAGATTATTATAATCTGTAATAGGTTACATTTTTTTTAAATTCTCATATTATTTATTTATTTTTGTTAAAATAAATATTTTTAAAATGAAGTTGAAGTATTATCCTCTAAATAATAAAAATATATTATTGAATAAAATATATTATTCTCCAAAATAAAAATTTTTTTATTGATAATTCATATAATGATGTTATATTCTTATTCATACTTTTAACAGACAGTTTAAACAAGTTATTTGTCTGTAATTTTGTTTATATAATTTATTTCATTTCTTATATATTAATATTGTCCTTCCTTGGATAAATTGAATATTGATATCATTATGATTATACAACATTTCATTAAATAATTTTAATAAGAAATTGTTTGGTTGTTCTAATTATTTAATCCAGAAGCCTTGTATTTTATTAATTCCATGTGATTTCCAATTATCAATGAATTTTATTGCATGGTTTAATTCATCTAGAGTTATTATATACATTCTATTATTAATTCTATTTTCAATTAATATATCATATAAATTAATATTTATGAAATCTATATTAGTGTTATTTTCATAGATTCATTTCAAGAAATTAATTGTAGTAATATTATCTGGATATTCATCTTCATTGTGTTTATTTAGAAGTTATCTCTTTCAATATTTTAACATTTTATAATTCCATCTAATTCTTTTCCAATTATTCTTACTTCTATTTCTATTCTTTTCATTCTTTGGAGGTATTTGTAATAGTTTATTTGCTCCTTTGTTTTTACTTTAATATGATATATATCATATTTTTTAATATGTAAGATTCTTTTTAATTTCATACATTGATTATTGTGGAGCAAATCTCTTAATCTACATATTTTTGATTGTAATATTCTTTCTATACTTCTCATTCAACTTCTTTCTTGATTGTTATTAATAATAATGTTAATAGTTGATGTTATAGTTTTAATATAATGATAATAATCATCTAATGTATTGATTAATATTTCATTTGTATTAATGATATTAATTATTTGATGTATTTTGTTTTTATTGTAATAATAATTAATAAATTGTACATCTTCTTGTTATTTCATATCTTCTTCTTTATTTATTCTTATTATTTCTTGTATTTCTTCTTTCTTGTTTATTTTATTAATTCTTTTAATTCAATATCTTTCAATTTGTGTGTTATTATTTCTTCTTCCTTTCTTTTATTGATTTCAATTTTATTTTCATTCTTTATTTTATATGTTTTCTTTATTATTTCTTTATATTCATTAATATCTTCTATTTTAATATCAATTTCATGTATTAATCTTTTTATTTCTTCTTCTTTAAGTTGATTTCTTAATTTTATTTCTAATAACTTCAGTGCAAAACAGTTATAGAATGTTAGAATTTATTCTTCTCTATTTGTTTGCTTCAATTATTTTTTGAATATCATGATCAGATGTGGTGATCTTCTTATGCTGATTTCCCATCTCTTCGATTGAATTCTCTATTAACTTTCTTTTTTTTTTTGAAGATCATCTTCATTTGATGATATTTCATCAGTTACTACAACATTGGGGTTGAGGTCATTCACAATTTGTGTTTCAGATGAGTCAGATATAGTGTGATTTATCTCATCTTTCTTCTTTTCTTCTTGTGTAATTTTATTTTATAATTTAAATAATTTATCTTTCAAGAAGTATACTTGTTGTGATAAATTGCTTACCTCAGACCTTTTCCTTTCTGATTCAGCATGGAATTCGAATAATTTTCTATCAATTTCTTGTTTTTTTAGTGTTTATCTTATTCTCATGCTTCTTCTTTAATGACACAATGTCATTTGATAATTTATTAATGGTCTGGTCATTCTTTTGTATTTCTTCATTTCTTCTTTCTCTTTAATATTCTCTTCTTTTCTTTTCTTTAATTCTTCTATTCTTTTATCTTTTACATTGTTCTTTTCTTCCTCTTCTTTTAATTTCA